ATCCATTGTGGTGGTGTATAGAGCTAAAGATATTAGAATTGTGTCGATGTCCCAATATTTCTGGACCTGACTGTACATACACACATACATACACATATACATACACACACACACCACACACGTAGATATACATATACACACCATTCAACTAATGGCTTATCACTTTTGTGAAATTGATACCTATCCCCACGGAAGAACCCATATCACCTCTGTAACCACAGGATAAATTGGCCTGGTTAGTATGGAAGTATAGATAAGTGTGTATGGGTACATGTGTATAAACATGTGTATATAATATATAGCCAAATCTTTACAAATAGCTTTATTAAATTGTAAGGAGTCTTGACTTTTCTATTGGGATATTTTTTCTAGCCTATTGTTGGCAATAGAAAGGCAAGGATTTTGTGCTCAATATTCTGAAATTCATAAATATTAAATAGCAACTATATTTGCTGAAGGAACAAAACCACAGTACATACTTTAATTTCATCAAAGTCTTGCCTTAACAATTGTTATCACATTCTCATCAGATGTGATTAAATAATGGTTCCACAGCTATTCCAACAATTGTTAATGTTGTTATAAATATATTACATATCTGCAGAACAAAATAGGAAGTCACATCAGTATGACTACAAATAGAAATACCTATCCAAGAAAAGATGTTGGGAACTGAAAGCCACCTTATTAAATATGTCAAATTATTAAATCAGATCTGCTGAAGAAACTTAATTCAGACTCAGTAGTATAACAAAAGCAAGCAAAAACGTTTTTATTAATCCATTGTGAAAACATAATACAATAAACTGAAATATGCTTACTTGGACAATGAGTACAATTGCTCTTGCAACATATTTTTAACATTTTCATTCTCTGGATAATTTCTGTAAAACAAACATTAGATTTAATAGTCAAATATTGATTATGTGACATCAAGTCGTTTTCAACTCCTAGTTACAATACTGGCAGTTTGAAATTAAATTTATGTGCTGTTTCCTGAGTTCAGCTTGGGTAAGACTCAAAGGCTGTCCTAGAACCACTGTAGGGAAGTTAAGATTGTGTCTGGTTATCATTGCTTTGTTGGAGAGTTTGTTTTTAGAATGTGATTTTTGGATGGTGGTAGGAAACACAGTTGACAGACAAGCATGAGGCATTTTGAATGGACCCGGACTTGATTTCCTGGAGCAAATTGTGGACACCTGGCTTGGATGGAGCCAGATCAGATGCTCTACAGTCAGACTTGGTGCACTGCATTGCACTGCAATGCACTGTATTGATTTGGTGAGTAAAACCTTGGAAAGGGGAAAGCAGAAAAAGTTTTGACAGTCTTCAGTCTCACCATTGTGACTTGGCCAACTTGGCACAGCAGTGGTGAGTCAAACTGCTGCTTAAACTACATTGCCTGGCTGCAGAAGACATTAATATCATTTGGCAGAAGCCATTATTCGCAGAATAGATAACTGAGGACAATGATGAAGACTCTGGATGAGGAGGTCCACCAGAAAATTTGGGTCTCTGATGGTAAGTGGGGCTGGGAAATACACTATGATTTCACACTGCAGTTGTGGTCCTATGACCAGAAAAGGAGGACAATGGGAACATTGGTGATGCTAGTTGTTTGTATTTACTGGGGTTCCACAGAAAGGAAGGAGCTATCTAAGGGTAGAAACAATCACTTCTGACTTCCCTGGGCAATCCCTACTGTATGGTGGTTGTCCCATATTGATGAGCACCTTATATAATGATGAAGATGCATAGCCAGAAGGTATGCCATTCAAATTTTACTGAGTTGAACCTTATGCTCCACTCATTTACACTTTAACCCTTATTTGCATGTTGCTATTTTAATAAAACCAAAGGACTCAATACTAAAAATTAGTCTTACATGTATAATATGTCCAAAGAATACTTATTATCCCAAGGCTGGTGAAGTAAGAAAGCTTTTAAAGTTAAAGATGCTCTTGGAGGAAGAAGATATGGACACCATACGGGTTCTAGAAATAAAAATAGGGGAAGAAAAAATAACTAAAGTCAATATAAAAGTCAATCTGATGATAAGACTAACATTTGCTCTACCTTTAACTAATAACTATTCTTACTGAAATGTTCTAAAAAATGAAGTGCAAAAATTGTTGCCATAGCAAGACCAAGAGATTAAAGCAAATGAGTAACTTCTATCTGAATAGCGTGAATTTTTTAGCTATTCAGAATAAGAAAGAGAACAGTGGCAACTAAGGGCAAGTAATATGCATTTAACATCTTAGATAAACAGTGAAAATACCTTATACTTTATTGTTTCGAGGGTTGAGATTTTGTATATTAGCAGTGCTTCTTCAGGATAATGGTTTGGCATTACATTTAGATTTTAGAAGCTGATTATCCTTTGTAGAGATTTATATAGAAATAAATAGTTTTACCATGTTACTTGTACTAGCTTCTTAGAGCCACAACAACAAAAATATGACAAGTAACTTATAATGAAATTTATTTTTAAGATCATCAAGGGTTTTACTCATGTCAGAATCTGGTTAATGGCCTTTAGAAGAAATCTATGTAACAGCTTCTTTTGGGTGGTTAAGATCCTAAAATAATATATAAAGATACATCACTTGACTTGTCGGATGCCCATAATGAATAGGAGCATGAAAAGGCTGCAAAGGAATTCCATCCCAACTTTCCAACTCATGAGTGATCCAGATGGCTTATTATGACTCTGTGCTTTAGTCTTGACTCTCAACAATGCAGATTATTGGATTGATTATTATTGAAAATATTTGACTTAAAAATATTTCTCCTTTTGTGTTGCAATGCTGTTTCATAAGGTTGCACAAATACTGAGCTGGGATTAAACTACTTCAAATCTTTCCACTTATGAATGTATAAAATATTTCAAGTTCAAAACAAAATTTGGAAGAAAATTTGAAATTTCAAGTAGGTTTTGAGGTCCCCCTCAAAAAAAAAAAAAAAAAAAGCACCAGAACTGGACTGTCATGGCTTATCTATTTCTGTTTGTTTGTTTAAATCAGCATAGCCAATTTAATAGCATAGACCTTTTCTGTTCCATTGCTACTGACTGAGATTAGAAGGGATGATGTGGGATAAGCAGGGAAAAGAAAGAGTTACTAAACACATAATTAGAGTCGAAAAGCTATTGTGGGTTGTGTTTAGTTGTTGCATTGGCACAGATAGAAAAATACTGTTTTTAGCTTCATGTCTGCCAGGTATGCAAATTACTGCTTAAAAAAAAAGAAGAAATAAAAACTAAAAGTATCTGCTATCAGGAAGGCAGCATTTGTAAACAGCATGCATCTATATTTCACAGTAGTTAAACAAAGGTGTGAGCTAGTTGTTATTCATGCAGTAGCAAAGAGTAACACACAGGTGGAAACAATTGTGTCCTACACAGGTTTTAAGAAATTTGAAAAAAGGATTTAGCAATGACTCCCTTGGGCAATTTTTCTGCAGGCTAAGTTCATGCCTCAGTCAGCTTGAAATGACAACCCACTTACACTTGTGAAATTGGGGTGAAAGTCAAGGGGGAAAGGGTGTTTACTTCCTGGTTGCTTTTGGAGATCCTATTGTTTTCTATTACTTTCAAATTTTGTCCGGTCAAAATACAGAACACTAGAACCATTTTAAATTTGGTTGGAAAGCAAACTATCAGAAATATTCCAATGGAAAATTCTCAGTGGGTCTGTTTTCAGAGCTTGAAATAAAATGTTTCCTTTTTTGCGCACTCTACTACTTCAGCTATGCAGTCAGTGCCATAACGTAACACAAAATTCTAGACAGATAGGAGGTGGGTGATGTATCTACAAGCCATTGTGATTTCTTGTTCTGATTCTGATCAGCAATGCGGATAAAAGTCAATCATACAGTCATATGGTAAAGCAGTGCTAGAGATTTTATAAGATAGAAGGGGAAAATTGTTTCTACTTAGATAATGTAACATGTTTCATAGAAAGATGTTTGGCAATAAATTGAACATTTAATATTAGAATGTCTGGATATGAGTAAGGCCATGAACAACAGACATGATTTATGTACTCAACACATTGGTAATCAAATAGCTTAGTAAAAAGAAGAAAGCAATATTTTACATTTACAGACTGCATCAGTGATACAAGAGCTACAAATAGAAACTTTGCAGAAAATATAGATTATACTACCTTTCTGAATATACTGAATAGAAAACTAGAGTTTATTTTAAAGCTAGACATTATATACACTTTTGTTGTTATTTTCATATAATGTGAGAAGAAAAAATGAATTTAACTTCATTGATAAAAATATTACAATTAGAAGTCATATAAAGAATATAGTCATTTTTGTACACTCTAATTTCTGGCAAATAAATGTTAAATGTAATGGGTGTGAAACAAAAAAGTTATTATGTGTATGTGTGTGTGTGTGTGTGTGTATTTTTCCTCTAAATTTTATTTTCATACTTGTAAGGTGTTTAGAGTCTTTTTGGTACTGAGCAGCTATATTCATGTTCAAATTAAATTGAAAAGCAAACGTTCATGTGTTAGGGATGATAATTCCTTGCTTTTCATAAATAAAAAATATCATGCGTGAGTCTTCCCCAAAGATTCAGGTTAACAGTTTGACTGTAACTGTGCATTCAGTTGTGGTTGTTTTTTACTGTAGCCAGTATACTCTGTTTGAACATAATGCCACATGCCTTAGTAAAATCTTGATTGCCCAGCTGAAGCACAATCCATGTGGGATTACATTGAACTAAAGCCTGTGCATGCAACCAGAATCCTCTGGCCTTCTCTTCTTCTTTTTTTTTTTTTAAATAATATTTCTGCTGTACGGCCAAGG